TGGTTTATTCCTAGCCTTTGGAGCAGGGGGAAACAAACTTGTTCCCTCTCCCTTGAGATATTTGAAGATGGCTCTCATATCTCCTCTCAATGTCCTCTTTTCCAGGCTAAACATGCCCAACTCCCTCAACCCTTCCTCATTACGCTTAGCTTCCAGACCCTTGATCTGTAGAGTTGGAAGGGACCCCAAGGATCATCAAGTCCAACCCCCTGCAAGGCAGGAATCTCAGCTCAAGCATCCATGACAGATGACCACTCAACCTCTGCTTAAAAACCTCCAAGGAAGGAGAGTCCACCACCTCTCATGGGAGTGCATTCCACTGTTGAACAGTTCTTACCGTCAGAAAGTTATTCCTGATGTTTAGCTGGAATCTCCTTTCTTGTAACTTGAATTGGTCCAAATCTGACCCTCCTGAGCAGGGGGAAATAAGGTTGCTCCATCTTCCATGCAACAGCCCTTGAGATATTTAAGATGGCTCTCATATCTCCTCTCGTCTCCTCTTTTCCGAGCTAAACATACCCAGCTCCTTCGACCGTTCCTCATAAGGCCTGGTTTCCAGACCCTTGATCATCTTGGTCTCCCTCCTCTGCACACCCTCCAGCTTGTCAACTTCCTTCTGAAATTGTTGTGCCCAGAATGGACACAGTATTCCAGGTGTGGTCTGACCAAGGCAGAATAGTCATGGTACCATGACTTCCCCATTATCATCTTTCCCCCTTCAGCGACAGAGCTGCCCATGTGCTCTTCAGACAAGGTCAAAGTCTTGGCCTGGGTGCAAAGTCAAACTTCCTGCCGTCTCCACAGTTACAAACATGCGCTGCTTCCGTGCGTCACCTTCCCCCCCAAACAGAAGGCTAATCGCTCCTCATGTTCTGCTATAAGAGTTAACTATAAATATGCAAATAGTAGCTAGAATAAAAAGCTCATTAAGCATTAGGCATTCACCATGGAAATTAAGCATCGTTAGATATATAAAAGGCTTTCCTGATACTTGTTCTCCAGGAAAATCTCCTTCTGCCTCCAGGAACATATTGGCTCTTATTTACTTATTTATTTATCCTGCCTCCCCAAAATAAAGTGTTTACTTGAGTCTGTGAGTGCAACAGATAACCTCCACTCCTGGGTTCATCCTATAGAAGAGAAGACTGGGATCTGACACGATAGTAAACGTAAAGGGATCCCTGACCATTAGGTCCGGTCGTGGAGGGTCTTGGAGGGTACAATTGCACTAAAGGCTATCCATCGGCACCCTGTTGGTGACCCCTGCTATAAAATGTTACAGCAGTTGCACCCCACAAGTTTTTCCTGCACGCTCTTGAGGACTAGTGACTTACCTTTATAATACCATTTAAATCAGAGAGCCCTAATGCCAAGAGCTGGGTCCCAGTAGGATCTGTTGCTGACAAAACCCTGTTTCTGTATCACACAACCAACATGTTTCCAAACAGTGCTAATCTCCCAAAGGGTAGCATAAAGGATTTCCCATGAAGACATCAGCATTAGCTGGCAGGATGCTTCTAGAGTTGGCAAAAGTGTTTATCTCTTCCCATTTCTCACCTTCTAATGAGCTGTCTTGCATTGGGGGCTAAATTTCACAACCGCTTGCCTGATTCCCATTGATTGCCCATCCAGCTGGACCAGCGGCGAATTTCTCCCCCAGGACGCGGCGTTTCAATGCGGTCACTCTGCGGTTGCAAAGCTTCTGGCTGAATAAGATCTCCTAAATAGTTGCTGTCTCCTCAGGTGACTCCAACATTCACTGCTTCTCATCTCGTCCTCAATGCCTAATCTTTAACACTGCCAAACACTAAGTAGAACAGAAAATAGACAGGGTGGGGTTTTTTTTGGGGGGGGGACGAATCCCATACCTAAAGAAAGTACACACATTTATGTTTTCAGCAGCTATACCATAAAAACTGATGAACTATGGAACCCAGAATCATACTGAGCTTTATATCTTTTTTATCTTAAAATCAAGATGATGATGATGATGATGATGATAATAATAATAATATTAATAATAATAATGACACCACTCCCCACCCAACACACAGAGAACCCCTAACTTAAAAAGAAATTAAAATGACTCGCCTAATTTTGTGACTGTTGAAAAAGAGCAACCCCACATTATCTGCAATTTTTCTAAATGAAAAGGATTAAGCGGGAAAAGCAAGCTGAACCTTGAAAGGCAATTCTAGCCATTGCCCCTCCTCCCCAATAAGTCAAGTGAATACCCTCTCCATTTATTGTCTGCTACTAAAATTAAGATAGGGATGCGGGTGGCGCTGTGGGTTAAACCACAGAGCCTAGGACTTGCCGATCAGAAGGTCGGCGGTTCAAATCCCCGCGACGGGGTGAGCTCCCGTTGCTCGGTCCCTGCTCCCGCCAACCTAGCAGTTCGAAAGCACGTCAAAGTGCAAGTAGATAAATAGGTACCGCTCCAGCGGGAAGGTAAACGGCGTTTCTGTACGCTGCTCTGGTTCGCCAGAAGCGGCTTAGTCATGCTGGCCACATGACCCGGAAGCTGTACGCTGGCTCCCTCGGCCAATAAAGCGAAATGAGCGCCACAACCCCAGAGTCGGTCACGACTGGACCTAATGGTCAGGGGTCCCTTTACCTTTATTAAAATTAAGACCACCCGGCCATGTGTCAAAGGTGAAGGAAGTCTCGGTGCTTGACTAAATCCCTCATCCTTCTACCCGGACACTGATGTCCAGCTCCAAGGACCTTCTGGCGGTTCCCTCACTGCGAAAAGCCAAGTTACAGGGAACCAGGCAGAGGGCCTTCTCGGTAGTGGCACCTGCGCTGTGGAACGCCCTCCCACTATATGTCAAAGAGAACAACAACTACCAGACTTTTAGAAGACATCTGAAGGCAGCCCTGTTCAGGGAAGCTTTTAATGTTTGATGGATTACTGTATTTTAATATTTTGTTGGAAGCCGCCCATCTGGCTGGGTTTCAACCTGGCTGGACTGTGTGTGGAATATTACTCCATTAACGTTTTCCAGTATTTAAATGGTATCCACATTGGGGGGGTATTTTAAAAACCTCGTACAAAGTTCCCCTCCAATGGCACCAGCCCATGTCACGCTTGGTGAATGTTCAACAGCCTCCAACGGCACTTCATCAAGGGAGTTCACCAAGAGTTCACGGCGGGTTTAGCGCGTCGAGGGTTAACAGCGATATCCACTTATTGAGGATTGCTAAATAATGAACTTTCCCCGCCGATAAATTTGGGTCTGACCTATAAGAAATCTTTTAACGCGCTTCAGAAAAAAAGAAGGATGGCCTGTTTGGTTTTCAAAATTGGTTTTCATCTCATTGAGTGCGACCATTTACACATTTGCATTCCCTTCACTAAATTGGGCTCTGCCTATAGCCATCTTATTGTCGCACAGTTTGATATTATTCAAGCAGTTTGTTGAACTGCTTCTTATTCTTGTGGCATCAAACCCTTAAGTCAAAGGTGGGGAACTTCCATCCTTCCGGGGCGTAGGAAGGGTGTCACCTGAGACAAAATGGCACGCCGCGCGGGGTGGTACTTACCGCGGGGCCTGGCCTGCGGCGCGCTCGAGCCACGCATCTCTCCTGGAAGTGACGCGGTGACTCGGGGCCCCGCACTGCCCAAAACGGCAGCGTGAGACTTGCATCCACCAGGCAGACTCCATGGGCAGCCCACAGCGCCACTCCTGCGCAGATTGCAGTGGCGCCCCCGTGCACTGATTTGACCCGTCCCCACTACTCTGGGTGCCCTTTCTTTCTTTCCTTCCTTCCTTGGCTCTCCCCCCCTTGTTTATTTCCCACAACAACCCTTTGAGGTAGGTTAGGCTGAGCGACAGTGACTGGTCCAACGTCACCCAGTGACCTACCCAGTGTGGTGTGGTGGTTAAGAGCGGTGGACTCGTAATCTGGTGAACCAGGTTCGATTCCCCGCTCCTCCACATGTAGCCACCATGGTCTAGTCACACTTCTTTGAAGTCTCTCAGCTTCACTTACCTCACAGGGTGTCTGTTGTGGGGGAGGAAGGGAAAGGAGAATGTTAGCCACTTTTTTTTCTTTTTTATCCATTAAGAACTGTCAGGAATAGTATGTTTATTTTTCTTCCATAGTGGTAATTTTTCTTCAATTACAATGTTTATTTTTTGGCCATAAATGTTTATTTTTTGGCCATAAAAAATGTTACTTGACGAAACCTTTAAAAAGCAAACAAACAAAACCGGACAACTCAATTTCTTGTTGTTGTTTAGTCATTTAGTTGTGTCCGACTCTTCATGACCCCATGGACCAGAGCACGCCAGGCACTTCTGTCTTCCACTGTCTCCCGCAGTTTGGTCAAACTCATGTTAGCAGCTTCGAGAACACTGTCCCACCACCTCGTCCTCTGTCGTCCCCTTCTCCTTGTGCCTTCCATCTTTCCCAGCATCAGGGTTTTTTCCAGGGAGTCTTCTCTTCTCATGAGGTGGCCAAAGTCTTGGAGCTTCAGCTTCAGGATCTGTCCTTCCAGTGAGCATTCAGGGCTGATTTCCTTCAGAATGGAGAGGTTTGATCTTCTTGCAGTCCCTGGGACCCTCAAGAGTCTCCTCCAGCACCATAATTCAAAAGCATCAATTCTTCGGTGATCAGCCTTCTTTATGGTCCAGCTCTCACTTCCATACATCACTACTGGGAAAACCATAGCTTTAACTCTATGGGCCTTTGTTGGCAAGGTGATGTCTCTGCTTTTTAAGATGCTGTCTAGGTTTATCATCACTTAAGAGAAGCAGGCATCTCTTAATTTTGTGGCTGCTGTTACCATCTGCACTGATCATGGAGCCCAAGAAAGTAAAATCTCTCACTGCCTCCATTTCTTCCCCTTCTGTTTGCCAGGAGGTGATGGGCCCAGTGGCCATGATCTTGGGTTTTTTTATGTTGAGCTTCAGACCATATTTTGCGCTCTCCTCTTTCACTCTCATTAAAACTCAATTTCTTAGCACAGTTAAAAAACAACAACTTCCCCCCCCAAAATAGTTATTCTCTCATTTCTCCATCTTCTTCTTCTTCCACACCCCTTATATAAAGGACATTATTGCCCCTTATCAGAACTTCACCAAGGTGTCCAAATAATGCACCATCAATATATTCTTCTGTATTTGCAAGCTGCATGTTCATGTAGTCTTCGACTCTGTAGCCTTTGTATTCCATCCCCCACTTCAGCTTCACCATCACTGGCCTCCCAGTCAGCCCGTTTAGGAAGGGCTTTGGATTGAGAGGCACACTCATAGCAACCGGACCAACCTAAGGGCGGCTGCGGCAACAAAAAAAATTACTCGCAGGCAGCACGTGTGCCTGCCAAAGCTCTAAAAAGAAAAAGCATGTTAGCCGCTTTGAGACTCCTTTGGGTGGTGATAAAGTGGGATATCAAATCCAAACTCTTCTACATGGCCAAGTGGGGAATTAAACCCTTGTCTCCCAGGTCCTAGTCCGAGGCTGGAGCCATTGCACCACATAGGCTCTTACGGCCTTCTCTTGGTCCTGCCATGCTCACAGGGAGACGACCAAGGTTGTGGCTGTTTCCAGACTCTGGAACTCTCGACCTGGAGAAGCTAGGCTGACTCCATCTTTGTAGTCCATCTACTGGCAGGTGGAGAGCCGCTTGTTCCAACAGGATTTGGGGAACTGACTGTTTTTAATGAAAAGGCTGGTGCATCACTGTTTTATTGTAACTCGCCACTGGATTATTGTAACTCGCTCTACGTGGGGCTGCCCTTGAGACTGACCCAGAAACTCCAGCGGGTGCAGAATGCCGCAGCGAGACTCCTTATGGGGTCTTTGCTGCGAGATCATATTCATCTGGTACTATACCAGCTGCACTGGCTCCCAGTGGAGTACAGGGTCAGGTTTAAGGTGCTGGTTTTAACCTTTAAAGCCCTATACGGCCTAGGACCCTCGTACCTACGGGACCGCCTCTCCTGGTATGTCCCACAGAGAAATTTACGGTCTGCAAATAAAAACATCCTGAAGATCCCAGGCCACAGAGAGGTTAGGCTGGCCTCAACTAGAGCCAGGGCTTTCTCGGCTACTGCTCCAATCTGGTGGAACGCTCTGTCACGAGAGACTAGGGCCCTGCAGGACCTGACTTCTTTCCGCAGGGCCTGCAAGACAGAGCTGTTCCACCAGGCCTTTGGTCAGGGCGCAGCCTGACCCCCTCCTCTGGCAATCTGCACAGAATGTTGCTTAATGGTTGGCATTAATTTGATTTTAAGTAATTTTATAATGAATGTTTTTAGAATGTTGGATTATTTTGATTGTTGTTAGCCGCCCTGAGCCCAGCTTCGGCTGGGGAGGGCGGGATATAAATAAAAATTTATTATTATTATTATTATTATTATTATTATTATTATTATTATATTGTCATAGAATCGTAGAACTGCAGAGTAGGAAGGGACCCTGAGGGTCATCTAGTCCAACCCCCTGCAATGCGGGAATCTCAAGTACGGCATCCATGACGGATGGCCATCCAACCTCTGTTTAAATACCTCTGAAGAAGGAGAAGCCACCACCTTCCATCCCACGGTCGAACAGCCCTTACTGTCAAAAATTTCTTCCTGGTGTTGAGTCGGAATCTCCTTTCCTGTAACTTGAAGCCACGGGTTCGAGTCCTACCCTCCGGAGCAGGAGGAAACAAGCTTGCTCCATCTTCCATGTGACACCCCTTGAGATATTTGAAGGTGGCTCTCATATCTCCTCTTTTCCTGGCTAAACATACCCGTGGATGCTTTAGTTGAGATTCCTGCATTGCAGGGGTTGGACTAGATGTCCACTGGGGGTTCCCCTTCCAACTGGACATTTCCATCATTCTGTGCTTCTTTGATCTCCCCAGGTGAGAGGTAAGGAGAAGGCATCTGTATTGCCGCAGGTGAGGGACAGAGAGGAAATGGGTGTCTCTTGGGGTTTCTGTTTTCTGCTGCTGTTGGGCTCTTTTTCGTTCAGCAGACCTATATTTGTGTACATAATTATCAGTTAGTTATTTGTTAGTTCAATGCTGGAGCATTTTACTGAAGTGACAATTGAGCAGATGGAGTGTAAAGAGATTTTTGAGTAATTACGTATGCGTTTGAATTAGTTTTGTGAGGCATGAATGCTTAGTTTTGTGCATTTTCTTTCGAATACGTAGGTGAATGAATTTGGGGGACGTAGTGTACATTCCCCCCTAATATCTATGCTGCAGAAGATAAGGCTTCACTAATACAGTTCTGGGCATTGAGATATAGATATAGATATAGATACTAGTTAAGCAGATAGAGATAGATGATAGATAGATGATAGATAGATGATAGATAGATATAGATAGATAGATAGATAGATAGATAGATAGATAGATAGATAGATGATAGATAGATGATAGATAGATAGATAAATAGATAGATGATAGATATAGATAGATAGATAGATAGATAGATAGATATAGATAGATAGATAAAGATAGATAGAGATAGATAGATAGATAGATAGATAGATAGATAGATAGATAGATAGATGATAGATAGATAGATATAGATAGATGATAGATACCTCAGGTTACATACGCTTCAGGTTACATACGCTTCAGGTTACAGACTCCGCTAACCCAGAAATATTACCTCGGGTTAAGAACTTTGTTTCAGGATGAGAACAGAAATTGCGCTCTGGCAGCACGGCGGCAGCAGGAGGCCCCATTAGCTAAAGTGGTGCTTCAGGTTAAGAACAGTTTCAGGTTAAGAATGGACCTCCGGAACGAATTAAATACTTAACCTGAGGTACCACTGTAGATACAAGTAGAAAGTAACACTCAACATTCAAGACATAACACAGACCTCGCAAGACTCACTGGCTGACTAATGAGCTGACATGCCTTAATCACTGATATAGACGGCAGTGGGTTGTTGCCATAGCAACTGACTTGGCTGACCTTGCGCCTGGTGCCTTATCTCATGCATGGGGCGATTTGTGCCCATGAAGGAGATTAACTCCTTCCTCCATGTCCAGTTCCTCCATCATGCTCTCGTGTTCAAATCCTGCCCACGGCCTTCCCCTAGTGCGCATTTGGTCAGCTCCTAGGAGAACAGGATGCTAGGCCTGATCCAGCAAGCTCCTCTTGTGTTTTTAGGACATTTAGTTGCCATTTATGAGCTGTTATCTGTGCCCAGGATATTAAAAGCAAAAATGCCGCAGCTTCAGACTCTGCCGTTAATAAGCACCTGGTGCTTATTAAAATGCCATAATGCCCCGGCATTTATAGCAGAGGATGCTTGCGGCGCTGTTTCCAACCTTGCCCGCGAGCTCCTCGGTAGATTTCGGGAGGAGGAGGTGAGGGCCCCGGCCTTGTCTCGATAAAAGAGGCGCCTCGTTGAGATCATCCACTTTGTGATTGGCACCCCCGCCACCTCCCTAAAGCGTGGCAGGAGGGCCACTCTCCATTTTTATTGCCTGTATAATTCCCTCCTGGGTTTCCTTTCTTTGGCAGCGCGCTGCTGAATGAAACATCTTCAGAAGAACCGCCAACTTCAAGGCTTCTCGGAGCCGGAAGGGAAGTTTTAAATTAAGTCTCAGGCTAGAATTAAAGAGAAAAGAAAATAATTCAGAAGCAATCAATGTGCCGCATCATGAAATGTGGAGCTAGCTATTATTATACTTGAAGCCTTTGGAGCACCAGATTTTTAATTTTACAAGGTACCTCTGAGATTATAAAGCTTGACCTCTTGTCCGGCTCTTGCCAATTATATTTCCTCTGGTTGTTGCTATATGAAGCCTCTTAAATTGCACGCTTGGCCAAAGCACGGGTTCCTGGAGAATCTACAGTCTCTGCAGAAGAATGGCAGAGGAAAAAGGAACATTTTGGCAAGTTGTGGCTCTGGCTATTACAGAGGCACAGAGGAATGCCTACACAGATAGGCAGTGGCTCTCCAAGGTTTTTGATGAGGGTCTCGCTACCTGAAGATGCTGGGAATTTAACCTGGAGCCTTCTGCATTCAAAGTAGCTGCTGTACCCCTCAGCTATGGCCCCCTTCCTGCTGGAAGTGCAGAGTACTCCTCAGAGTAGAGACAGGGGAGAAATTTGTTTCGTTGGCATTTTAGTGTGAACCTGATTTGCACATGTGGGACGCGGGTGGCGCTGTGGGTTAAACCACTGAGCCTAGGACTTGCAGATCAGAAGGTCAGCAGTTCGAATCCCCGCGACGGGGTGTGCTCCCGTTGCTCAGTCCCTGCTCCTGCCAACCTAGCAGTTCGAAAGCACGTCAAAGTGCAAGTAGATAAATAGGTACCGCTCCGGCGGGAAGGTCAACGGCGTTTCCGTGAGCTGCTCTGGTTTGTCAGAAGCGGCTTAGTCATGCTGGCCACATGACCCGGAAGCTGTACGCCGGCTCCCTCGGCCAGTAAAGCGAGATGAGCGCCGCAACCCCAGAGTCGGTCACGACTGGACCTAACGGTCAGGGGTCCCTTTACCTTTACTTTTAATTTGCACATCCTGAACCAATAGGCACACCAAAATCCAGCTGTCCTTTGAAATTCACTGTGGTGCAACCTTCAACCAAAACAAGCCTACAATAATGCATCATCATCATATATTACTTATACCCCGCCCATCTGGCCGGGCCTCCCCAGCCACTCTGAGTGGCTTCCAACAGAATATTAGAAAACACATTAAAACATCAAACATTAAAAACTTCCCTAGACAGGGCTGCCTTCAGATGTCTTCTAAAAGGTAGTTGTTTATTTCCTTGACATCTGATGGGAGGGTGTTCCACAGGGCGGACACCACCACTGAGAAGGCCCTCTGCCTGGTTCCCTGTAACCTCATTTCTTGCAATGAGGGAACCGCCAGAAGGCCCTCGGAGCTGGACCTCAGTGTCCGGGCAGAACGATGGGGGTGGAGACGCTCCTTCAGGTATACTGGGCCAAGGTTTTAAAGGTTAGCACTAACACTTTGAAACGTACTGGTGGTTTCCTTAAAAAGCTCAACAATATTAGGGTTTTTACTACGACTGATTCCACATACTGGTGTCTCTTCAATTGTGTGTGGGACTCTTCTTTATTTACTTATATTTGTTAAATAACAACTACAGGTGCATACATTGGGAAGCAGGTGGCGCTGTGGTCTAAACCACAGAGCCTAGGACTTGCCGATCAGAAGGTTGGCGGTTCGAATCCCCGCGACGGGGTGATCTCCCGTTGCTCGGTCCCTGCTCCTGCCAACCTAGCAGTTCGAAAGCACGAAGTGCAAGTAGATAAATAGGTACCGCTCTGGCAGGAAGGTAAACGGCGTTTCCGTGCGCTGCTCTGGTTTGCCAGAAGCAGCTTAGTCATGCTGGCCACATGACCCGGAAGC